CCGCTCCTGAGGTTTAGAGAGAGAGGACAACTAGATGGACTGAAAGCCTTCAGTGCTTTTTTTGCTTCCATTTTAACAGAAGAAAGGATTCAGAGTAGGGATATTTGGCCTCCTTTGCCTAAGCAATGGGCTGATAAAACCAGCCCATCCTTCTCTAGACAGAAGAGTGCCACATTCTGGTAGCTGAGACGTGCCTGGCTTGGCTGCGCCCAGCACTTCTCTTAAAGCACAAGAGGAGTTGTGCTAATGGTGCTTAGGGTGTAATTAAACAAGAATTCTTGCTACCTAGAGGAAGGAACCACAACAGCTTGAGCTGAAGTGGCTCAAGATCTAGAGAGGACTGGTGTGTTTACGAGGCTGACTTCAAGCAGAACCTCCTGTGGAGGGACTTCCCGTCCCCAGTTCTTAGGGGCCAGTTGGTAGAAACCTGTAGAAGGGCGCTGGGCTTCTGCTGCTCTGACGGTGTCGTCCCGGTCTGGTGTGTCCTCAGATGAAAGCGTAGGTTGCTTCTGTGCTAAAGGCTTGGCTAATTGTCTTCGTACACAGTGCCTCCTTTGTGGAGATGCTGGAGAAATGGCATCTGTCAAAGCAGTGGGAGAAAACATGGCCTGTGCTATGTTTATTTGAGCTAATCTTGGTTGATTTACAGAGCTCTTCAGGCTCTGGACAAGCTGAGGGTGAAATGGTGCTGGCTAGGAGGGAAACAACAAACATCCACGGAGAGCTGGTGTTATTTTGCGTTCTAGGCTGTTCCGGGGCTGAAATTCAAACTCGTGAAGCTGCCTGGTGTTCCCTCTCCTGTGGGGAGAGGCTATTCTTCTCCTATCCCCTCCTGACCCCTGAGATTCCCGAGGGGATACAGAGGCCTGACAAAAATGTGTGTGGGATGCTTATTTGGTGGCGATGGCTTCTTTTTCTGTCACTGCCTTACTTCCACCTGGAACATCAAAAGGTGTGGCGATGCCTTTTTCTGGGGAGCGTCTCTTCTCTCTGCTTCAGCTTGTAACAGAATGAGTTGCTTTTCAGGAAATCTGGATTTCACTGTGTATCAGGTCAGAGTTCCTTAGGTTTGCTCCCAATCTTGCCTCAAAACCGTGGCTCAGATGCCCAACCTGGGGTGATTCCCTGCCTTTCTTTTGGAATAACTCCTCTGCTGCCAGGAAGACATTTGCTTGAGTAATGCTACCTTTCCCAAGAGCCTGCCAGTCCCTGCTTTCCCTTAGGTCATGGTTAGGAGCACGGTACATGGAGATGTAGCCACAACAACCTCCGTCTGACCCTTTCAAAGACCTTGAACACTTGGCATCCTCACCTCACTTGGGAGTTGGTAACTGTGTGCAGTGATGAGTAAGGCCTTCTGCTTTCGTGGTGTGGCTCTGCTAGACTGGCGTGGCCATAACCCTTAACCTGTCTGGGTTTCTCTAAGTGCTCCATCTGCTTCGATGACATCAGCCTCTTTTCATCCCTTGCTGCTCTAATTGCACTCGAGCAGACATGCATGGAAAGAGCATCCAGCCTGGGAGCTGTTTGTCCTTGCTGTCCCGTATCTTCCTGCCTTCTCAGATGGAAAAGTGGAAAAGCCTCCATCCATTCTTATGCTCTTCTAGCTTTCTTGCCTAGCAGACGACACCTAGCGTGTCCTCTCTGCCTCAGAGGGACAGCTAAGGGGTTGCTTAAACTCAAAACTCCTCCATCCTGTAGCTGATGATTCCCATGGGCCCCACGGTTCCTGAATGAACAGGTGGCCGTGCCAGCAACCAGCTATTCCAGGAAACCAGGGAACACGCAAGTCGCACCCTGTGTTCATGATGGCATAGGATGATATTGGTATTAGTGGGGCTGGTGAGAGATTCTCCTCACAGATAGTTCCAAATTTTTCTTTGAACGCTTGTTATGGGATGTAGTCCCAAAATAGCCTGTGCCCTGCTCCGGTGCTCGCTGCTGAGTGACTGTGGTGAGAGAAGAAATCTGTGGATGCTCCGAGAGGGGTCTGCATTCATGGCGAGGTGGGACATGGTTATGTCCCGTAGCTCAAGAGGATGATTTCTTTACGGAGCCAAAGAGACTTTGATTCCAGCAGACAATGGCAAATTTCTGGCTCTCTTGGACCTTTCAGATCTGTTGTGAACAGCTGTACCAAAACCACGCTGAAGTGCTCTCTGAGGCTTAGGCTAAGGTACTGGGACTTGTACAGGTGCTGAAAGCAGCCTTTAGAGCCATCGTGCAGAGGTGTCGTGGGGTATAGTGTCTGTCACTTGTCTTCTTCTATTGGCAGCTGACACCTGCAGTACACCTGCTGAGGATGAGTGTTTCTTAATGCTCTGAGAATACACCCTTAGCAAGTTCACTTTCTGGGCTCAGCGATGTAAGTAAGGTATTCATGTTTGTGAAATGCAGCTAGTCACCACAAAAACAGCATCACAGGGGACTTTGAGGTCTGCAGCTCTTTTTGAACTCGCCTTCTTCTGGAGTCTGTGGCTTGCGTGAAGTGCTTAAACGACTTGTGGCTCCAGGAAGATGGCAGAGTATTGCCTGAATATCACAGTAGGCTTGCTTAGGAGTAAATGTTCTCAGTCTTGTGCTGGGCTAGCAGAGACCGCTGTTCTTTGTTTTCAGCAGGCAACTGCATGGCTTCTGGGGCTGATCTCAGCTAGGAACTGAAGGAACTGTTCAGTTTGCGAGGGTTGCTACTAGCTGTTTGGCATTATGTGCCCGTTGGAGGGTGGAGGTCTACGTTTCCTACTTCTGTGCTGAGTTAGGACTACTCCTGAGCTCTCTGCACTGGCTTCTTCACGGCAGAAGCTTCTGCGTCAACTGTCCTTGAGCTTTGAAAACAGCAGAGCTAGTCCAGTGCTGAAAGGCTTGCAACGTTGTCTCAAGGGTAAGAACCCGAAAGTGCACTGTAGACACTGCTTGGGGTCACCTGCAGAGAAAAAGCAACCCTCAGATGAGTTATCATGTCTTAATGATTAAAAACACTAAACAGTGGTGCCTGTTCCCTTCCTGAAGTTATAGGGCTGAATAGCTGGGGGCTAATAAAAGTCTAAGGCTGATGCCGTGGTCTCCTGTTTTTTGTGGCAGTGGTCCAAGCTTGAGTCTCGGGTTGCCGTTGCACTCTTAACCCTGAGACAGCTTTGTGTGCCTGGGGGCTGCAGGGGAGGATCTTGGGAGACTGCTTTGCACAGGGCTGCTGCAGGAGCCAGCATCTTTTCTGCATTTTTGGCATTTCCCTGCCCAGTGGAGGGGCTGTTGTCACCCAAGGTGATGAACTGGAACCGGAGCCAGGGACTCTGCGCTGCTGTTTGGGGCCCCGATTACAGACTGCTCTTCTGGGAGTCGGAGCAGAAGGGCAAACACCTCAAGTGGATTTCCATGCTGTGTGAATGGGTGCTGAAGCAAGAGGTTTCCCAGCTGGAAGTCACAGTCCTTGATGTCTGTTTTGATACTCCCAAAGTGCTTGAATGTAGCCTGTGGGCAAACTGAGGACAGTGGAGTGCTCCGGGATTTTTCTATTTGCAAGTCACCACATGGTCCTTCCGAGGCCCAGGTTTCCTGTAACTTAGATGAGCTGTGGGGCTCAGAGTGGATTATGCTGCCCTTCTGTATTTTTCTGGGCTGGTATAGGTCAGGACAACAGGACAGAGAGGCGTCAGACTGCTTGTAGTACCGTGCCGCTCCGCCATGGGACCTGGAGACCTTTCTCTGCTGAAATCTTGTTCCCCATGAAGTGTTTCTTGAGTTCATCTTCCCTCAGACCTGGGCAGAGGAGCCAGACAGTGAAACCAGCTCTCTGAACAGTGTTGCTGAAGCTATCTGTGCCCTGTATGAGGGCTTTCAAATGCTTGAAACTACTATAATGCATCAGACAGTCCTCAAATCCTGAAATGTCTCTGGAAATCCTGTTGGCAGGAGCCTTGTTTCTGAACCTGCAGAGAGCTGTTGCTGCCTCAGTGCTGACTGGAAGGCAGGAGCCAGGAAATCCCATCAGAAAAAAAGCTGACTGAGGGTACCCTGTAGGAGATGAGTGGTCCTTCGCTGCAGCCACAGTCTGGAAGCTGACAGGGGGACTCATTGCAGAAGCAGTGGAACCAATCCTCCACACCCCTGCAGCGATCCCACGGTGGGCTTGTGCTGACTCTGCAAGTATGTGTCTGCTGGGTCTGACTAGATGGCTTTCTGCTTCATCCCAAGTTCCTTTGAAGTCTCTAGCTGGGACATGAGCTTTGTCTGAGACTGAAGGTGACCTCAGCTCTGGGATCCTTCCTGGTGGAGGTCTCTACCAGGTTCTGCATTTTTCACAGCTTGCACTTTCCACAGCTCATAAGAGCTGTGGCTTGGGAGTGTGTCTACACCTTCCTAAACTCTTTACTTCCTTAGGCTTCAAGTCAGCAGGAGCCGCGTTGCTCCACTATCTAAGGCCTGTGAGCCTTGGCAGGCTGAGCCTTCCACCTCTGGAGGACTTCCTACCATCTCGGAGTTACTTTCCAGGTGTATTTGGCCTATAAACATTTTTGGGGCGGAGGAGTGGCCAGCTCCAAATGCTCGTAACAGCCTGCAGGTCCATAATGCAATACTAGAGGGCTATTTTAGATCAGCTATTTGTCTTGCTAAAGCACAGCAGCTGAAGCAGCCTTCTCTAACAAGGAAACCAAGTGCAATTGAGGCCTTAAAATACGCAGCGCAGAGCACTGGGCAGAGTAGATGTATTTTTGGATTATCTTAGTGACTGCTGAGTGCTAGACTCTGCTTTTCTTGAAGTCCTTAGGTGCAATGTTAAAGTCCTTATCATATTTGGGGATATTTAATATGTTTATGCCTCTTGGGCACCTACATCTGGGCTTGGCTCTTGCACGAAAAAGAGCACTGGTCTTTGTACAGTGCAAAACGTGTTGCTGATAGATAATCTAAAGTCCTTCAGATGTCCAGCTGGCTCCCCTTGACTAAGCTTAAAGGAGAACTGCAGGTTGTGTGTAGTAATGCTGTGCTAATCTTTCCCCTAGGTCATATTCAAAGTGAAATGTGCAGCTGAATTCAACAAATACAAGTAAGTGATGCTTTTCTAATGGTACCTTCAAAACTGGCTTCAGGTGAGCTCAGGCTGCAGTGCCTGAACACTGAGCTAGTGCCATCCCTGGCTGTGCTCTGGCAAAGGATCAGTGCTGTGCCTTGGAGCAGAACTGGGAGCTTTCAGGGTACCAAGGAAGCTGAAGCAGGTGCTGCATGCCTCCATACATGTCATCAGTATCCATCTAGCAAGCTAGCTGAACTCTTGAGTTCATTCTGAGCTGTCCCACCCCAGAGAAGGTCTGTGGGATAAGGCCTGAGTGATCGGTGGGACCTGTGTTTGTGCAGCCCAGGTGCTTCCCAGCCCTTCCCAGGGAAACCCACAGTGGAAAAAGCGAGCTCTGGTGGCTTTCAGTAAAGCAGTTGCAGTGGTTGTGATGATTCATAGCTTATTGACTGAAGTTAATGCAGAGCTGGAGCAACACTTAAAATCTGCAAGATAAGAACCTGAGTGTCAGAAGATGAGTCTTGTAACTCATGACTACTTACATTGCTCACACATTATGAGAGCAGCTCAGACAAATACTCTGCAGACTTGGGCTGTCAATACAACCACTGAAACTTGCTGGAATGTCTGATCTTCATAGCAAGCAGAGCACTGGGTGTGCTGGGAGGTTCTCCTGCCTGCTGAGACAGGAGGGTGGTGCAGAATGGGCCCAAAATTGTCTGACTCAAACTCTTTTATTTATTTTTTATTGTTTTCCTCTATCATCTCTCCAGGATCTTGTTGTATCTGGGCTCCATATTTACCAGCCTCCTCTTCCTAGTTGTGAACTTAACTTGTGCAATGTTAATCCACGACGAGGTCCCAGAGAACCAGCTGAGGTGGACAGTCCTTGCCCGTGCCCTTGTCAACGACAGCCTCTTCATCCTCTGTGCCATCTCGCTGGCTTGCTGCATGTGCAAACTGGGAAAGATGTCTTCAGCAAATGTCTACCTCGAGTCTAAGGTAGGTCAGTGCCTCGCAAACTACCCTGGAACTGCGTAGTCACCAGCTGGCTTCTCAGCTGGATCCCTGTGGGCTTATTCAGATGATGGCCTGGTGGCACCTGGGCTACTCTTGCTTAAATATGGCTCCTGGTGTGGGTGTGGCAGCTCTTGGACTCTTCTCTCTAGAAAACTCATGCTCCTGGTGTAGGAATGAAGTGCCCTGCATGTTTTAGGGGAATACACTCCAGCTTTGCTGGCACAACAGGAGACTTCTGAGCTGCTTGCTCAAGTTTAGAAGTATAATTTAGGGTTTGACCGGAAGAGAGGGTTCTTTAAGAGTAGCAGCTGCAGTTTCAGCAGTGTGTTGTCACTAAGGGCAGTAAACACAGGTGGGGCTCTGGCCTCCTGCAGAGATCTTATTTCCACTGTACCCTCAGTCTATGTGGGTTTAAAGCACTGCCAAGCCTGGCTCAGAGCTCCTGGAGGCTCTGTCCCATCTCAGGAAGAGGGTCCCAAGCCACCATTGCAGCAGACACTGCTACAATGACATTCTGGATCCTGACAACTGCCTTGGGTTGCCTGGAGGCATCTCCTTGCTCCATAGCAAGCCATCCGTGTGACCTACAAAGGACTGTGGTCCACTGCCCCTTCTCTTTGGGCAGCTGGGTGAAAGCTGAGAGAGTGGCCGTAGCTGTTGCTGTCATGGTTGAAGCTGAGCCTTTCTGTAAGAGAAACCTGGGCCTCTTAAGCAGCAGAGAGCATCTGTGTTGCGCAGAATCCAGGGTGTGTGGGCTGTAGGTGGCTCTGGTACCAGCTGTCCACAGAGGCTGCACATTGCAGCTGGGTGATCTGAAGTAAGAGGAGCCATGACTAAGCCAAGAACCTGCTCACATGGACCACGTATCCAGCTCTGACTGGCTCTGGACACTAATTAACTTACCAAGTTCACCCAGCAGTAGTTTACAAATGCAGTAACTTCCTCCAGTTATGTGCCTGAGGCTGCCTGTGGGGCTGTGCTCTTGTAGAGCTCTAGTGAAGCCTGAAGCCTGCTCTCAGGTTGAATACTCCACTTGACTGTCTGGTAAAGGTCTCTTGCACTCAAGTGCTGCCTCCCTTCCTTGCCTTGGAGGCATCCACTGACTTTGTGTTTTGGAAGAGCTGCAAAAATAGGGTGGGGACGAGCAGAAGTGTTACCCAAATGTCTAGAAAGGTTGTCCTGCCTCCTGAACTCCAACTGTGAACCCGCTGACTCAAAACAATGCATTGAGGCCTGAGGTGCTGGCCGAGGCAGCTGCGTCCACTTGAAGGTAGGAAGGTTGGGGCTGTTTGACTCTTGAGAATGAGGCTGCACTGCTGAATTGCTGCCAGATCCTATTCCCCGGTCCTTGATGGCTGCAGGCTTGCCTCACTGGCCTTCCTGCCTCTTGTTCTGAGCACCAAGGGCTCAGCTAACAGTGCTGGAGCAGGCTTTGTTCTTCTGTTTTGGACTTGTGTGTCAGCAGCACTTTTGTGCTGGCTTTTCCAAGACATGGTCTTGAGCAAGCGCTGTAAAGCTGGGGAACCAGAGCTAGCGCATGCATCGCTTGGATGTGGAGCAGGTCAACGAGATGAGCTTCCTGAGCAGATTGTCTGCTTATAAATACAAAGGCAAGTCGGCTGCTCCAACGTATTTGCCCACTCACTGGCTTGGTGGCTACCAGTAGCTATTAGAAAGCTTCGCAGGTGTATTTAGCAAAGAACTGGAGACGCTTGGAGGTCTCCAGGTGGTTTGCTCTCCCATGGCTATCTGTCAAGGAAGGGTAGGTACCGTGACCTTCTGGTACCTCCTGCAGCTATCCTTGCATCTGGAGCATTGTGGAGAAACCTCCTCTTCACCTGCACAGGACAGCTAGCAGGAGGGTGAGCAACATCTAACCACTCTTTAGAATTCTGCTCTGTGTATGGCAAAGCCTGGTTTATCCCACAGCAGCGCTGGGGTTCAACGATTGGGTCTTTCTGCCTGTGCTTGGTTCCCTGCCCCAAATATTTGGGCTTTTTTCCTCAACAAGTGCTGTGTTCAGTGTCAGGCATGTCAGACAGCTGCGGAGTGAGTGACATCTCTGCTGTAACGTCTCATCAGGGTGTAGAAGCGATGAGATGATTTCCTTAATGGTTGGTTGTTTGCCTTGTGGAGATCACCGCAGCAAGGCAGTGGGTTGGGATCGCATCTCTCCGGACCAGCAGTTTGCAGCTGACTGGAAGATTCTGAGAGTGACGCTCCGGAGCCTCAAGTCTTCTTTGCTCCCAGGTGATGCTGGCTGTGTAGCTGTGCTACTGCAGTGAACTTATCACACAAGAAAGCTCTTAACCAGCTCTGAATATTTTAGCAACATACAAATGTTCTAGGTCAGTCTTGGCTGCACAGCTTCTCAAGGATTTAAGCGGGGGGAAGGAGGAGGGTGGGAAATCACAGCTCTGTAGGAAGGTCTGTATTAAAACTGATTTTTCTTCCTGTTATAGGGAACATCTGTCTGCCAAGCTATTCTTGTGGGATCTGTAGTCGCTCTTCTGTATTCCTCAAGGGCTTGCTATAACCTGGTAGCTGTGGCCATATCTCCAGACAATGTTCCTGGTCCTTTTAACTATGGCTGGGACAACCTTTCAGACAAGGTAAGTGCCTGTGACCCTAGTAAAGAGAAATAGCAGTTACTCTCCTGTCCTGTGAGGGCATGTGTAGGTAAAAAAGGGGGCTCTGCAGGGGTGTCTTTCCACCTGAATCCCCAAATGATCTGGCTTTCTACCTTCAGAAGCGTTGCTTGTTTTCTCCCACCAGAGCAAACCTGGACCTTCCTCTCTCTGGTGGCTGCTTCATGAGGGATTCCCTGTTGTGCTCTTCAGTTTTAGCCTGCCAACTCTTCTTTTGGGGGAGAGAAGGAACAAGTCAACTAGAGCAGAAGAGTGATGCTTAATCAGGCGTGGCTGTGTGCAAAGGAGAGTCGCTGGTGTAGGGAGGGAGCTAGCAGTACCCTGGTAGCACGCTGAGGAGAACTATCTCGCTAAAACCAGTAGTAGCAGTTGGGTGAGGGTCACTGTTGTGGTTTAGGGATGTCGTAAGAGTTTCTCTGCATTCCTAGTTCAGCCTGCTGTGCCCAGCTTTGGGAGCTATGTAGCTCTGCTGACAGAACTATGCAGAGGCCTCTAACTTCTGCCCACAGGTGCACGTGGAAGTGAGCAGCGAAGAGTACGTGGTGTTCGGCGTGGTCCTCTTCCTCTGGGAGCTGGTGCCAACGACTTTTGTGGTGCTGTTCTTCCGGGCTCAGAGGCTGAGTCAGAACTTGGTAGGCCCGAGCAAGCTGCTGTAGCTTGAGAAGCGTTAAGGGCCTGGGGGCAGGTCTTTAGGAAGGCTGACAGAAATACCTCACTTCTGGCCTCGCTCCTTTTCTCTTTAACAGACTCCAGCGGGGATGGTCAATAGTCACAGTTACAGCTCCAGAGCCTACTTCTTTGACAATCCGAGGCGTTACGACAGCGATGATGACTTGTCACGGCTTGGGGCCAGAGAAGGAGGGTAAGTGTCGTGAAAATACAACTCCTGTTCTGCTGCCCTGTGTGGAAGTGGCAGAGCTCTTGGCTTCTGTTCTTGGGAAGGGAAAAAAATTATAGTCTAAGAGGCAGCTTGGGTAAGGTGGATGGAGCAAGGAGCTTTCTGACTGAGCTTGATTTTCGTTCCCTTCTGCAGCTCATAAGGAGCTTTTTTTTGTTAGACACAAACAACTGGCTCTGAGGTGGATGTCACACAGGGTGCTCACAGGTAGAAATATGCAGTGGCTGCTGACAGGATGGCTGACCTTGCTAGGATCCTTCCTCAGCTGTGGGTGCAAAGGGCTCTTAAATGACCTCCAGAGGAGTTTCTCCACTGGAAAGTGAGGTGGTGAAGTCCTGGGAAGGACGTGGTCTCTAGGAGCCAACTAGGATGAAGCTCTGCAGGAACACCTGGTTTTGAGTAGAATTGTCAAGTATCCCCAGCAAAACTCTAAGGGGAAACCTGACAGCCCTGCCCTTCGCTTGCTGCTGAGGGGTCTGAACCTGCCTGGGGGTGCAGTGAGGGCTTCAGAGGTTCTAGCTTCTCTTGACTACTGTTGTAGGACCTGGTGTCCTCTCCTTGTACCTTTTGTCAAAGCCGGGTTCCTTGGAAATACTGTGTTTGCATGTCGGAGCCTGCTTGTGCAGGCTTAGATACCCTGATGAGTGCTGGAAGCAGAAGCTTTTCTGAGCCTCAGCTGAATTATTCATCACTAAGGGCCCATGTCTGCTGTTTTTTGTTTTTCTTTTTTTTGTCTCTCCTCCCAGCTTGGCCACCCCTCAGTGCTCTGGCTGCTACGGGTCCCTGGCTGGGAATGACAGCTACGCCGTGGGTCCCCATCTCGGTGGAACTGCCACAGACAGTGCCCCCTTGCTCTTTGCCGCAGGCGGCTCGGAGATGAATCACCACCACAGCTCATACCTCGCACCACAGAACTGAAGAGGCTGCGAGAGGTCCCTTTTCTTCCCAGAAGTGGCATTCATGTATAGGGTTGTAACCTTCTTTTTTTTTTTCTCTTTCCTTCTTCCCCGAAGCATCTTAACTCATTGACACAAACATTCCACTACCTGCTGCAGCCATAAGCAGGACTGAGCCTACGGCTGCAGGAAGTAAGCAAGAGAACTGTGACTTTAAGGTACCATGTAGCAAAGTGAAGCTCAACTCTCTGGAAGCTTTTTCTTAGTCTGGTCTTCAAGATGTTGGCAGCTAAATGCACCAGAGCTTCCTCACTAGAAAAGAAACATCAAATGCATATTTGCACTTTTATCTGCACACTTGGAAGGAATGAATCTTGCTTGGGCTGTGCTCGGCCTGAGACTTCTAGTTACTCTTTTAATTGCACACCCATAGCTGGGAGAGGCACTGTCTTCCTGCAAAGACGTGTTCCGTGAAGTACTCTGCATCCTGACTCACTTGGGAGGGTGAAGCTCTGTTAAAGCAAATGCGTTATGGGCAGGGCCTCCTGCAGTGAATGTCCAAGCGTTCTGTGCCATAGTCCCACCCGGCAGGGCTGAGGCCTCTGGACTGAGCGTTGTCTCGCTCTGACTGCTGGTCCTCACTTCACCTGATTGCTGAACGTGTCCTCCCTGGGACTTGTGGGTTCAAAGCTTGCGCTCAAAGCATATCCTTAGCCGAGGCTCGTGAGGGCGAGATCGAGTGCTCTTACTGGCATTCAACATCACTACCATCATAACCGACCCGCTAGCTTGTGGTGGAGGAAGGGGGCTGGTGTGGATGGTGGCTGCTGTCAAGCAAGACTTTTGTGAGCTGCTGCCTTCAGGGAAAGCTTGGAGCTGGCCCCGCAGGAGCGTGCGTGCGGGAACACGTGGGGCCCAAGGTGCAGGTAAAACTGGGGCCACTTGAACTGGTGGATGGTGAGAGCAGTCCTGCTCCCTGCCGCCTCTTGCACCCGCACTGGGGATCCCCTTTTCTCTCTCAGTATTAAATTGCGTTTAGCAGATAACTAAGAGTTTTTAACGTGAAGCAAATGTGAACCGGTGGGGTCCGTGGGAGGTGTTTGTGTGCTTGAGGAGGCAAGGGCTGCTGCAGGGACCTGTCCTTGGGCTCCTTGCTGTCCCCTCCCCTGCTGTGGGCCAGGGCTGTGAGTCTGGAGTCCTCCCACTGTCACAGTAGCTGTGTGGGCATTAGTGGTGTACACAAGATTAAGAGTGTGCCAGGTCAGTCTGGGAGGAGGTTTCTCTGTCTCTCTTTAACCAAAATAGCCAAGCTTGTCCTGCCCTATAGCTCTGTCAGGCTCTTGGAGCTGAGGTGTGATGTTATTCCTGGCTTGTCCCCGAATTGGACGTGGGGATGAGCGAAGAAGCTTTGGACACACGCTTGGATGGAAGCGCTTGTCCAGGGAGGGCAGCTGCTCTGAATCTCTAGTGACAACCTGAACTGGAACTGCTTTTAGCCCACCTGCAGCCCAAATCTGGCACTGAAGGACTCACATGTGCTTGGGGTGGTGCAGCACTGCCTGGCTCTGGCCAGGCTGGGCTCTGGTGCCGGAGGGAACGCGAGGCAGCCTAGGTGGCTGCAGCTCTGTGTGAGAGAAGCCCCAAGCACCAGGACAGCCCCAGCCTCTCCTCACTTGCCACGTGCTCACTGGTATGGCCTGGTCACCTTCTCACACGCCTCACTTGTACCGAGCTAGATGTCACTTGTCACACTGAGAACACCCTGTCCCTCTGTGTGGTCTGTCCTGGCTTGCGGGCCTCTCCCTGCTAACCTGCTTCACTCTTGCTGGCCCCAAAAGAAATTAAAAAAAGGAGCGACCCCTCCTTCTTTCTGGAGAAGGCTCCAAGATGACAACTTTCAGCACATCCCTCCTGCTCTAGTACTTGAACCAGAGAGCTCCACCCTGCCTGCCACAGCTCTCCTGGCTGCTCTGCCTGACCTGGTGCGAGGGACCCATCTTCTTCCCTCGGCTGGGGCGGGGGAAATGCCTGAGCTGGTGCAAGGCACCCATCGTCTTCCCTCGGCTGGGGCGGAGAAACGAGTCGCTCCACTTCAAATCACTGCTTGACTTATGGCAAAGCTAACAAAGGACCTGGGCTCCGGTGCGTTGCCCTTCTTTCTTCCATAAGTCACCAAAGACAGTAAGTGATGCTAGTGGCCCCTGTTCTTGCTTAAATTCCAAAGCACTAGGAGCACTTTAAGTTTTTCTTTGGAGGGAAAGGAGTGTAGTGCAAAAAAAAAAAAAAAAAATTAAAGGGCTACAGGCTCATTCTTCATATTGCACTGAAGCACACACCAACAACACGATCTTCCTGGCATTAGGATGGCAGGTCAGGGCAGTGAGTCTCGTTGCTAATGTACTCGTGAGTGACTGGCAAAGCGTTTTCATTTTACTCATTTGTACGGATGGCCGTTAATTTCAAAACTCTGACCGCCCCTGCTGGGGGGGCTGGTCCTGTGTTTTACTGAAGTAATTTATAGCTGAGAAGTACAATGACTTTTTTAATGCATAGTTGCCTTTCATTAAACTTTTTTTTTTTCTCTTTTTTTTTTTTTTTTGGTATGGTTTAACAGTGTTTTGGCTTTGCAGTCAGGCAGCAGCTGGCTGCAACAGGAAGCTGTGGCCAATGAATGTACCTATTTGTTCTTCACTAAACTGTAACCAAGCACTACTATGTTGAAATAAAAAATTAATAATAATAGTAAAGAAAAACCTTTCTCTGCTGGGTTGCCGGAGGCCTGGCTGAGGTTTGCTCTGGGTTTGAGCCAGCCCAGCAGTGGCCCTGCAGTCCCCCTGCTCCTGGCAGGGGCACAGGACTCTGGGTATCTGCCTGCTCTGCTGACGTGTTGGGTAACTTGCTAAAGCTGCTTCTCGAGGGGTTTCGAGGACCGAGTTGGACACGGTGCAGCTTGGTGCTGGGGCCCAGCACAGCTCTTGGAGCAGGGCTGGAGAGACTTCAAGGCATGGGTTGTGCTTTTTGTCCAGGCCCTTTGATTCCTCTTCTACAGCCCTGAGCTGCAGCGGAGCTGAAAGTCCCAGCTCGGTAGCTCAGCGCTTCCCCTACTTCCTCACACGTGTTTATCTGGGTGGCCTTGAGCTTGCTGCAAACAGCCG